ATATATATATATATATATATATATATATATATATATATATATATATATATATATATTTATATATATATATATATATCTATATATATATATATATATATATATATATATATATATATATATATATATATATATATATATATATATATATATATATATATATATATATATATATATATATATATATATATATATATATATATATATATATATATATATATATATATATATATATATATATATATATATATATATATATATATATATATATATATATATATATATATATATATATATATATATATATATATATATATATATATATATATATATATATATATATATATATATATATATATATATATATATATATATATATATATATATATATATATATATATATATATATATATATATATATATATATATATATATATATATATATATATACATATATATATATATATATATATATAAATAATCAATCTTATTTGCCTTAATAGACAATAATATAATTAAGGTCTTTCCTGTAATTTTGGCTGACTTTAACTGCAATTTGCAGTTTCACATTCATTCATGAATATTTCATTCATGCACCTGAGACAAACTGGGGCATTAGTTGCAAATAAAGAGTAAGGACTGGTGAGAGTGTTATGGAATTTAATAATGCATGCCGAATGGAAAGAAAAAACTTACGTATTTCGTGATGTGTGTGTGCGTGTGCGTCTTGTCGGAAAATATGGCGAAAAGTCCTACATGACAGTAATAGTTTGATTGTGGTGTTTTCAATAATGCCACTAATATCTGCAGACTCCACACATCTTAATTCTATTTCTGTTTAGTTCAGTTATGACTTTAGTCGGATCAGGGTGATCAAAAATCGCTGTTTGGAGCTTCTGTAGGCCTACAGTTTAAAATTCATGTTTATCTGAATAAACAGCTAGTAAACACAAGTTCATCTCATTGAACATAATTTATTTTCATCATCAAATATCATAGTAGAACAGTTTCTCAAGCAGTTTGTGATGCATTTTGGAAACAGGATATGGCCACCTGGCTTGAGAAACCCGTTCTCAAAGACTTATTATTTTAGTAGCACATACATTCTGAATGCCTTCGGCAGAATTCAAATGAGCCATTTTAATCTAGATTAATTGCAATATTACAGTGAGATTAATCTAGATTAAAAAATGAATCTATGCCCACCTATATATGTTGAACACGCTTGTATTTTTGTAGTATATAGCATTTTTTTTTATAGTTTATAAAAAATAAATGTTTTTGTTCTGTTTTAACAACAGAAGTTTAAAACAGCAGGATTTATTGCAAACAAATAATATCTATATTTTTTTTGTAGCAATATAGTTGAATTTTCTGTTCCCTCTCTGTTCTTGTTGATTAAAAATATAATAATATCCTAGTAACTTTTTAACATAACAATTACAAAACACATGAAAAATATACACATGCAAAACCTTTTAAAAACTCATTGATCAATAGAGGTGTGCTCTGCCTCACCTGTTCTAGTATTTTCTGCAGGTGAACGTACGCCTCCTGTGAAGTGAGTTTTAGCTCCACAATCAGCCGGTCGATTTTGTTGATGACAAGAACAGGGCGGATATTCTCCAACCAAGCTTGTCGTAAAACAACTTGCGTCTAAAGCAGCAAAAAAAAAAAAAAGAAGAAGAAGAAGAGTGGCTGTTATGGTGACATGCTATAAAAGTGATATTAACACACTGAAGCTACATTACACTGAAACATTTATCTTTTTCTAAGGATCTGGAACCCATAATCCATGATTGATAATTTTTTATATAGTCAAAATGGGGAAAATAACAACGCAATCATGCTTGCCACTTCAGGTCAAAATAACAACACATGCGAAAACGAGTGTGATATAACAGCAATGAGGAGATTGTAAATAAAAAAGAATGTAAGGATGTCGCCAGAGTGGCTTTTTGGTTTCTTTTCTTGTTTATCTCAGCCACTAGCTCCCCATCTGAAAGAGTTTTTAACATAGGGGGTAATATAGCCATCCAAATTCACAGTTTGAAATGTTGCAATATGTATTTGAATAATGATGGCTGGTTCCTTTACTTGAAAGCTCAGATTTGATTATCATAATTAGTGTTGTTTACAGAGTTTGAGGTTTACTGTATCATTACTATTGACACATTAAAGTTTGCTTTGATTGTTCAGCATTTACACTTTACCAATGTACACACTTTGTAACATTTTATTTATCAAGTTTAAGGGTCTCTTTATTTCATTATTTTATTATAAAGAGATATTTTGTTTTTGTTATTTTAACTATTAAAACTATACAGGGGCTAATAATTATGACTTCAACTGTATATATTATTTCAGCCCTTTTTTTTCTCTATTTGTTATGGATGGTCAAACGTATGCTATTACATACAAGTCAAAAAAAGCATGAGGCTGGGCGAATTACAGTGTAACTTTTAAAGCATTTAATTTCTATGCACTTTGTGTGTCTAATCTACGAAAAACAAGTGAAAACACTCTCGATGTTGGATGATACCTGCGGACACACTCCCTCCACAGCATCGACCACAACAATGGCCCCGTCACATAATCTGACAGCGGTGGACACCTCAGAGGAGAAGTCCACATGACCGGGAGAGTCGATCAGATTAATGAGGAACTCCACTCCTCCTGCAATGACAACGGCAAACATAAGCCAGAGCAGTACATCGTGTCGAATCAGTAAAAACAATACAGACCACGATGGCCATCACCTGTTGCGAAATGTAATGAAATAGCGCTGGACTTCATGGTGATTCCTCTGATCTGCTCATCCTCCCTGCTGTCCAGATATCTCAGCTACAGGAGCAATGACAGAAAGCAGCAGTGACAGACAAGATGGTGAGCTTCAATTGTATGAGTCTTATTTCAACTCCAAAACAACAGGGGTGTGTGTGTATGAGCGTACTGTAATACTATTTTTAAAATATTATTTTATGGATAGTTACAATTTTGAAAGGACAGCGGTTGACAAAAAAAAGTCATGTAAATGTCTGTCTGTCTGTCTGTCTGTCTATCAATCATTTATTTTAATTATAATTCATAATTAGTTCAACTTTTAAATGTATTTTTTATGATTCATTCAGTAATTTTCATTCGGCTTAGTTCCTTATTTGTCAGGGGTCACAATGGTGCAATGAACCTACAACTATTTCAGCATATGTTTTACAAAGTGGATGCCCTTCCAGTCGCAACCCAGTACTGGGAAAATATTTATTATTTACTTGAATATTTTTATGTTTTTTTAAGAAATAATAATAATAATAATTTGTATTATCATAATCATCATCATCATCATCATCATTATTATTATTATTATTATTATTATTATTATTATTATTCACTGTGGCTTTAATGTATTTTATTTCAGTTTTGTTGGTATTCACCTTACAATTTTCTCATCTAATATAATTTTTCTATTTAATATCTTTTTTTATTTCAGCAATACTTTAATTATTTTATTTATTTATGAATTGTTTCTTTTATAGTTATACACAACAACAGTGATGATATTAAAGATACATTGTAAGATGTATTAAATCAATTGTGGGTTTTAGTCAATTATTTTAGATAATACATGAACAGTATATACGTATAATAATTATTATTAAATTTAATGTAGAGTTAATATATTTTATTCAGTTTTAGTATTTTGAGAACTTAATGAGCATTTCTGAAACTTAATGAGTATTTCTGAAATTTCATGATGAAAGCTTTTTTTTAGTATTATTATAATTCTTTTCTTTCAGCTTAATTTCAATCACAAAAGCAACGTTTTATATTTCTAGTTTTAGTTAATAACACATCATTTTAAATACACAGAGTTAATAAATAATAATAAATCAAAATTAAATAAATAAAAAAAACAATCAACATATGCTAAAAAAAGTATCATTTATTGCGTGTACTTTGTTATTAGGCTAACAACTGGTCATTTTCCAGAATGTACACTTACCTTTCCTGCTAAACGACTGGATATAATACCATTACTGGCCACCAGACAGTCTGCTAACGTCGTCTTCCCTATAGACAACACACAATGTTTCAATTTATACAAAAATATAACAATCTGGCAGTAGATACTTGACTATTAATGACTATAACAGTAAATAAATAAATAAGCATTAAAATGTATGTAGTTGAAGTGAGAATTGTTAAAGTCCCTGAATTATTACCCCTCATCTCCCGCTTATTTCGCTTTTTCCCCAATTTCTGTTTAACTTAAAGAAGATTTTTAACACATTTTTAAACATAATAGTTTTAATAACTCATCTCTAATAACTGATTTATTTTATCTTTGCCATGATGACAGTAAATAATATTTGACTACATATTTTTCAAGACACTTCTATACAGCTTAAAGTGACATTTAAAGGCTTAACTAGGTTAATTAGGTTAATTAGACAAGTTAGGGTAATTAGACAAGTTATTGTATATTGATGGTTTGTTCTGTAGACTTAAAAAAAATTGCTTAAAGGGGCTAATAATAGAAAAATAAAAAAAATTAAAACTGCTTTTATCCTAGCCGAAATAAAACAAATACGACATCCTCTAGAAGAAAAAATAATATCAGACATACTGTGAAAATGTCCTTGCTCTGTTAAACATCATTTGGGAAAAAAAAATTCAAAGGGGGGGGCTAATAATTCTGATTTCAACTGTAAATCGGCAACTTTCAAACTTACCATGATCTACATGAGCAAGAATACACAGATTCCTAATGTGTGCCGTTTTCTTTTGCAGTGCAATTATCTTCTCCAAACTCGTGTGACCCATTGTTGCTTTCTATATCAAGAAGACGAAGAGCACTTTATTAGTAGAATAAACACAAGTAAAATTAACACCCCAAAAATATTTGGGACTTATAAATAGCTTAAAATGTATTCATTTAATTCTATAATACAACACAAGTGACATCTACAAATGCTGTTCAAGGTATACTTTCTTAAAATCACTCTACATCTCTATAAAAACACTGTGCATTTCGGAGTGTGCCACACACAGGTGAGTGGGCTTGACAAACCATCTGTCTAAAAACTTTCTCCACATGCACCAGACACTTTACTTAAACTCCAGTTTAAAAGGCCTCAATAAAAAAAAGCAATGTTTACTTGTGAATGCACCATCCAACCATGTTCCACTACTTGTTTTCATCAACCTTTAATGCCTTCTTTGCACAATACCTTTATGTCCTAAGAAAAAAGTGCTAGTATAGTATAGTATAGTTAGATTACCGCTCCGGTATCTTTGATATTTATAGGTTTAAAATAGCTCTCATAAAAAAAATTTCCAAAATAATGTGGAGGGGCAAGCATCAATTTGATTTTAAATATTTATTTTTCATAAGTGTTTCTTCATTGGGGTGACACGGTGGCTCAGTGGTTAGCACTATCACATCACAGTTGGCATTTCTATGTGGAGTTTGCATGTTCTCCCCATGTTCGCGTGGGTTTCCCGCACAGACCAAAGACATGCACTATAGGTAAATTGGGTAAAACAAAATTGGCCATAGTGTATGAGTGCAAGTGTGAATGTGAGTATGGGTGTTCCTAGTACTGGGTTGGAGGTGGAAAAGTATCAACTGCATAAAACATATACCAGAATAGTTGGCAGTTCATTTCACTGTGGCGACCCCTGATAAATAAGGGACTAAGCCGAGGGAAAATGAATGAATAAATGAATGAATGAATGAATGAATGAATGAATGAATGAATGAATGAATGAATGTTAATTATTTTAAAGCCGACAAGCCTATTTAGGGAAAATATTTTGAGTGGTGTCTCTCTTTAAAATTCCACTCTTTTAAGTTTACATATCCAACTTAATTGAGGTAAAGTTGGTTTATATTCACACATTCTGACTTTCTCCTTAATAGTATAATTTCAGAAAGTATTATTTGCAAATCGTATTAGCAACCAATGACTATCAAAGTTCAAAACAAATAGTGCTAATGTTTTGAAGTCATACATGTGATTTTTTTTGTTCGAATATTCAAAGTACCACGGTAAAAAAATACAGACCGTGTCACAATTGTCACTGAATGAGTGTGTGAATATAAAACCAACTTCACCTCAATTACAAGTGATTTCTTTATGAGTGGCACAGAATGAGTGAAAGTCGATTACCAGCTAAATGATTGAGCTTAAGCTGGTTTTATATTCACACAAAACATTGAAATCATTTCAGCAGCCAATGACTATCAAAGTAACCTACAACACTGTTCACAGTCAAATAAATAGTGCTGATGCTGTCATATTTACATGTGAGTTTAGAGTGAATATTCAAATTACCATGGTAAACAATATAGGAAGTGTGTCACAAGTTGTCACTGAAAAAATGTGCGAATATAAAACCAATTTTACCTCAACTCAAACCTATTTTTTTATATATAAATGACAGAATGAGTGAAAGTTGATTACCAGCAAAATGAATGAGGTAAAGTTGGTTTTATATTCACACTAAATAATAAAATCATATTAGCAGCCAGTGACTATCAAAGCAGCCTACAACATTGTACACAGCCAAATAAATTGTGCTAATGTTGTCATATTTACATGCGATTTCAGACCGAATATTTAAAGTACCATGGTAAACAATACAAAGAGCGTGTCACAAGTTGTCACTAAATGAATGTGCGAATTTAAAACCAACTTCACCTCAATTAGGCAAGGCAAGTTTATTTATATAGCACATTTCATACACAGTGGCAATTCAAAGTGCTTTACATAAACAAGAATAAAAGAAACAAGTAAAATAAAAATAAAAACAAATAATAAAAATGAGTAAAAAAAACATAAAAACAGGTCAAATGTGATATAAAAGAATGAAGAACAAGAGAAAAACATAATAGTGTGGTCTGTCGGACGCAGCACAGTGCTCATTCAGTAAAGGCACAGCTAAACAGATGTGTTTTCAGTCTTGATTTCAATGTGCCTAATGTTGGAGCAGATCTGATCATTTCTGGAAGCTGATTTCAGCAGCGAGGAGCATAGTGGCTGAAAGCCGATTCACCCTGCTTTGACTGAACTCTTGGAACTTCTAGTTTATATGATCCTAAAGATCTGAGTGATCTGTTGGGTTTGTATTCAGTGAGCATATCTGTAATGTATTTAGGTCCTAGGCCACTTAGTGATTTATAGACCAGTAATAATACTTTAAAATCTATTCTGAATGTAACTGGGAGCCAGTGCAGGGTTCAACGCTAAGGATTTTTTCTACTGGTCTGATCGGGCCAGTGGTTTAGATTTTTACTTGCCCTGCCAAAATTTTCACTGGCCCCACCAAAAAAAGGGAAGTTAATAGCTATTTTTAGCCACATATTTTAATTAAAGTGTCAAAAATAAAGTCTATAAATCTAGAATTTCAATACTTTAAAAAAATGTAAATAAAAGTTATGCAAGCAAAAAGAGCAGTATGGAAAATGTGCAGGTATTTTATTGCGGTTTAAAATTATTTAACAAAAGGTGGCTGACTTGTCAAACTAACGGAAAACTGTGCAAAACATCACTTCATTTTTATTTTGTCGTGTTGTTCCCACGTAAATGTCTACTTCCAAGATGTTAAAAACAGACATTTTCTTTTAGCCTTATAATTTGATGTTGCCGCCATGTTGCCGTTTCTTTGCTGTACTGATTGTTACCAGGTTACGGAAAAAATTGCATGCTCAATCAGATAAGAGGAACTGGAAACTTTTCTACATCACAGAAAAGGTAGTGTTTAAAGACTTAAAAGCACAAACTTAAAATGCACGCAATTGAAAAATAGTCAGACAAATTAAATGTAAGTGACAAGGCAGCACTGTCCCAATCGGGCCAGTAATGATCCGGTCTAATGTCCCAAGTGTCTCTCACGCTGGCCCTGGGCCACCAGGCAGTCCTTATTGTTGAGCCCTGCAGTGTAAAGACCTGAGGACAGGTGTGATGTGCTCTGATTTTCTGGTTCTGGTCAGAATTCTGTCAATTACAATCTATTTCTTTATGAGTGTCACAGAATGAGTGAAAGTCGATTACCAGCTAAATGACTGAGCTTAAGCTGGTTTTACATTCACACTTTCAGGCGTTCTCCTTAATAATAAAACTTCAGAAACGTACTCTTGGCAAATTCTAAATAGTGAAATCATATTAGCAGTTGTGAGTGATGCGGTGGCGCAGTAGGTAGTGCTGTCGCCTTACAGCAAGAAGGTCACTGGTTAGAGCCTCGGCTGGGTCAGTTGGCATTTCTGAGTGGAGTTTGCATGTTTGCGTGGGTTTCCTCCGGGTGCTCCAGTTTCCACCACAAGTCCAAAGACATGCGGTGCAGGTGAATTGGGTAAACTAAATTGTCCGTAGTGTATGTGTTTGAATAAGTGTGTATGGATGTTTCCCAGTTATTGGTTGCGGCTGGAAGGGCATCCGCTGCGTAAAAACGTGCTGGATAAGTTGGTGGTTCATTCTGCTGTAGCGACCCCAGATTAATAAAGGGACAAAGCCGAAAAGAAAATGAATGAATGAATGATGTGATGTGAAATGCTGTGAAAATGCTTCTTGGTATGTTTAACATCACTTGGGATATATTAAGATATCACAAGGTTAAACATCCTGCCTTCAACTGTACATCTACAAATAATCATGATAATAGTTAAGTAATTTAATTATTAAAAGTCAAAAACAGTGCAAATGTTAGCTATTGAAGCTCAAGCTTCACTTCATGGATTGAGTGACGTCTTGTAAACAGCAAACCAAAGAACCAAACTAGAATTTTTACAAATTATCACATGAATATTAGCAGCCAACCACTACCAAAGTAGCCTGCAACACTTTTCACAGTCTAACAATTGGATCTGACGCTGTTTAAGTCATGTTTAGGTAAACTTAATTCTTTATGAATGACACAGAATGAGTGGAAGTCGATAACCAGCAAAACGAAAAATAATGAAATAATATTAGCCAATAGTAGCCAACAACATTGCTAACAGTCAAATAAACAACTTAGTGCTAATGCTGTCATATTCAGTTCAGAGCGAATATACAAAGTACGATGTTAAACAATATATGGAGCAAACAAGAAAGTTAAAACCAACTTTACCTTAATTATAAATGACGCAGTTTCAACACAAAACTGAGCGAGTATGTTTGTTGACAACCATAATATTATAGCATATTATTTCTCAAATATTAATGATTCAGAGATGACACAATCAGTTGAAACTTTTCAAAACAACGTCTATTGCTAACGCACAAACCTAACGTTCAAAGCAGACATATATAACATGGTAATATAAACACGCGTATGTTCAGCCTAAAAACCAGCCAATTCCAAATGCCATTCTGGCTTTATGAACTTGAACGCCATCAGCATGAGAAATGACAACAGAGGCTGTTTCTCAATATGCGTTCTTCAGCGGTCTTGCGTCCTCGTGTTCTCGTGAAACGTCATCATCAGCTGCCCAAGTTCAGTTCCAATACTCAAGACCGCAAGTACGGAGGACACATAAAACTTCCCGGATGTGTTCTTGATATCGAGGACGCAACGATGCAGACTTGAGCACCGAACTCGCACTGGAAGTCCCAGAAGTCATTGCGACTGGAGGTGGGAAGCGCTGCATTTTATTTAGATTTATTATTAAAGTTCAGAGATATAACTTATTTACCTCAGGAGTTTCCCTAAATTAAACGGTGAACGTAAACATTACCATGGACATCTTAATAAAGTAATAAACACATTAAGGGTTGTTTGTTTGCTGAAATTCGTATTAAAATCAGTTTTATTTATATTGTGCAACAAATATTTATAATGTTTTTATGCAAAGTATATATTTTGAAAAGGGGAAAAACAATAAATCGTTGTATGAAGGCTGTAATGTTTAAATAATTTAACATTTAAAACACGTGAAGGTCATGTGACCATCAGGAAGAACGCAGCATCTCAATTCTCAAAGGACGCGTTCTCTGCCCTCGCGGTCTCCTGAGTTCGTTCTTCCGAGGACACATGGCAAGACCGGTCTCCACAAGAACACAAGTCCGTTCTCTGCGTTCTTGGAATTGAGAAACAGCCAGATACTCACATGTTCCCTCCAGTCCAGGAAGCGCAAACGTGCGGCTCGTCGCATGCGTCATACGTAGTACGTTACGCAGCGTCGTCACCAGGACGCATCTGACAGCGGTTGCGTGGAAACGGAATGCTACAGACGGGCAGCGAGTGTGTGAGTTGAAGAAACATTCATAATAATCGTCAATAAACCGATGAAAATGACACGCCTTTGTATCTGTGAGATGTGCAGCTGTGGGTAAGAGAGTGTTTGATTTGTTGGGGCTTGTTTTTGGCGTACAAGAGAATATAAGTAACCCGAGAAGACGTTTTGAATAATTGATGGGTAAATGTTTGGATTTGGTGTAATGGAAAAAGTTAAACAAACTAATCTTGAAGGACGGAGAATTGCAAATAACTTTATGTTATTTAATCAATAAGCAAGGTAAGTGGCCGCTTAGGGCCCCAGGATATCTGGGGGCCGACAATAAAAATCTAGAGGTATAAATTATGCCTATGAACTACATATAATATCATTTTCTATCATATTTTGTAGAGTGAGTCAAACAAATGTTTTTTTACAGAATTAAATATTTAATATACAATAAAATATTATTATTATAACGTAATGTTATGTAATAATAATAAAAAAA